CATACGATTTGTACCTTTCCAGATTTATTCGTTGACCCTAAAGGAAATTATTACAAATTATTTAAGAATGCAAAACGATTATGTGCATCCATCGAATTTGCAATTAGTGAAGTACACACTCTAGTACCGAAACGTATTAAAGCACCACGAAAAAACGTAGAAGAGAAACCGAAGTAAGAGTAAATATACGTTTATTGCCCGCCAAATATCTTATACCCTACACTTCTGCCAAGAAGTATAATATGTTGTTTAGTTGGTAACGGAATTAAAACACATTTTTATAATTGGGCCTTAAACTGTTCTTCTTATACATATATAAGATATACATATAATGTTCATTGTGGAAATTTCTTTGATATAAGGATCCTTCGAGACAATACTTATTTCGACCATAAATGCATTAGAATTTAGTTTAATATATAGACGATATATATGCACACATGTATATGCATCTTAAATTTTGTTGTGCGTGTTATGATATTCTTTTGTAGCTCAAAGTCTGGTCAAATTGGCAGACACAATCGTGCTACAGTGTATTGTACAGAGCTGGGGGCGGCTGTAGCATAAGCCGAAGCACTGATGCTGCCAGTATAAATGTATTCGCATCCATGATTATTGCTCATGCATATTCTTACATATACCTCATTTCGTTAAAGATTATCTTTTTATTTTGTTTACTTCTAGATATATATTTTTGTTTTTGTGTCTAAATTGCGTCTTCATAACTTCTGCATGGGTTTCGTTCGTAGCAATCAGACAATATGGAAATTGCTTTAAAATTGGTAATGGAATTTTTTGGTCATTTCTTCTCTTTAGCTACAAGTATTGTTTTCGTTATTATCAATATTATTGATTATCCCAGAGGCTTAAGTACTTTGTATGTAATCATGGTATGCATTTTGAATATATCTTCCTTATGTATTTCAATCTTTTTGTTCCATTTTCCTTTAATCCTTTTCGAAATAAAAAAGTTAAATTATATAAAAAATGTATGTACATATGTATATATTTGCATAAGAGTATGTATACATATACAGTAAAATAGTTATTTTTATTATTAAGGTTTTCAATTCGTTAGGTAGCATTCTGTGTACTAGGATAATATAATGAATGTGAGCTTAGATGGTTTTATTATACATATTTTAATACGTACTTATCTCTATGTGTATTTTGACTACAGGGCTGTCATTATACTTCTATGCATAGTTAATTTAATGATTTCTAGTCATTAATTTAATTGTGATATACATATATAAGTACATATTTTTTAATACATACATAGAAATATAGAAATATTTAAAATTATAATTATATATTGTATATCATATCTGTTCTGAAGCTGTCTTGTAAAGGAACTTTAACATGTATGTATATATGTTATGTATGTAAAATCTTAACTGAATTCATTCTTACATGTTTTAGTGTATGTACATGCATATATGTATATATATATATGAGTAAAGTTCGAATCTTTTTTATTTCATCTGCATCTGCATCTGCTTTTATACAATGCAGCATTGTATACCAGGTGTTCAATAGCTAAACAAAATCGCAACTCAAAAGCTACTTATCAAAGCATAGGAAAAGTAAAAAAGATAGGCGCCCTGAGGATAAGCTAAAAATTTTTTTCACCACCACTTTTGTTCAGCACAGTTTAAAGTTTTATACAGCCCATGGTAATTATTTGCGATATTTTTGTTGTATTGTTAAATTATCTTTCTACACACTTTTACTAAGTTGGATTTTATGCAGAGCTCAATTTAATTAAAAATAACTACAGCGTTTCGGCGTAATTCCAAGTTTTGTTTTATAACATACATACTTATAAATTCTTAGTATCGATTATTGCAATTACCATTAAATGTTTAATGAGTTTAAATATTTAAATAAAATATTTTTCAAATTATTATTATCAGTGAACTCCTGTTATCAATTTTAAATAAAAACTTAGTGATTAGTTTTTAATAATTAATTATATATTGTATTTATAATCCTATATTTTTTAAAAACTTGTCTGCTTGTTTTGGATATGAGACAACAATGTTAATATAACTTACATACGTACATATATGCTAGCATATGCAAATAAACTGAACATAAATGTGAATAGAATAAAAGTACTATTCTTATGTTATATTATATACTACTATCACTCGTATATATGTTTGTATATATTGAATTAATTATAATACTTGAAAAGTAAAATAGAAAATTATGACTTTAATATGTTTTGATTATCAATTTATATTTTTTTTTATATGAACATACATATGTATGTATATGTATGTACCATACATACTTAATTTTAAAAATAATATTTTTAATCCTAAATTCTAAAAGTCATGTAGTTTGTTTTTTTATTTAAAATTATCTTAAATTTAAGTTTAAAGTTTCAATACAATTCGAATTTTGATTTTTGGTTTTGAAAAATTTTGGTTGCAATTTTACAAATGTTTAGCTTTTGCTTTTACTTTTTATTTTTAAAATGCAACGTTTTATATTTATATGCTATAATATATTTTTATAAGATATAGTCAATTCGATGTTGTTGTTGTTGTAACCCGCTAAGATCTGCTCCTGTAGTCCCTTTGGGGGATGCTAAACTGAGCTTTAGCCGTTCTTGGAACCTGTCGTGTTGAAGTCTGCTTGGAAATACGCAGTTATTTAAAATATTCCTACCTAGTATAAACATTTAGATAATTCGTTAAATATTCAGAGTAAATGAATGCTTTTAGGTATTTTCTTTATATATTTATGTCCAGAAATATAATTTTCTTTGTGATATATAAAGATAGTACTTCAATTATTGATCAGTTATTTAAGACAGAAATAAAAATTGTTTCGAAGTAAAGAAATAAAAGAAACTGTTCAGTACAATCGAATAATCATAGTATGCATTCGTTTTGAACATTTTAACTGCAGATATGTACACTACTTGTGCACAGAGATTGTCAGGAATGCATTAAACGCAAGTAATGTGTGCACGAGAGAACTGCAACGAGTCATAATTTTAATGCTCAGAGTCACAGTTGCCACTTATGGTACTTTAGTACCAAAATTGGTACTTTTTTTTCCGTTTGGTACTCTGGTACTCATGTTCAAAAAATGGTACATTTTCGGCGACCCAACTTTATTGTGGATATTTTCAATTAATTTTTTTTATAAATGTAACTTGTATTTTATACTTTTTATACATTTTATATAAATTGTATTTTCTTATAAAAAGACAATAGAAAATTTTTGGACCTTTTTTTACAGAAATGGTACCTTTTTAAACCAATTTTGGTACAGAAAAAAATTTTCAAGTGGCAACCGTGCTCAGAGTACACTCATAAAAAACCAAATCTAACTGCATAAAAATGTTTTTCTCATTCACTACTTATTCGTACGATTCACATTCACATTCGGCACAGAAATGATTTATAAATATATTCGTTAACGAATGCCGGTGCTAATGAATTAGCCTCACAAGAATGCGTACACATTTCTAAGTAGAGTAGCATAAATGGCAAATGATTCATGAATCATAGCATATACTCAAATGAGTTTGAATAATCTTATCGAAAATGAATAATTCGATCAGTAGCATTCGTAAAAATTTTGTGTGAGCGCTGTTGTTTGCTAAGCAAAAAATTTATTTCTTTTCAGTTTTATGCTTTTGTTGTGTGTTGTTGTTGTTCGCATTGTAAATGCATGTGTTTTGTTTGTTTAAATAAAATTAGGGGTTGTTTTAGTAGTAAATTATATGGACGGTAAACAAGCAAATTTTTTTTCGACTGTGACTTAATACTCATGAATGATTTTGTGTCGAATATCGGTGTTTATGAGTATCATATGAGCAGAGTATAAATCATTATATATGTGACTTAATACTCATGAATGATTTTGTGTCGAATATTGGTGTTTATGAGTATCATATGAGCAGAGTATAAATCATTATATATGTTCTTACAGCTATATGTATGAATCAGGTGGAGTCGAATAAACGAAAAAGAGAATCAGAATGCATATAAATGAAATACAGTTAATCAAGTATGATTCAAGTGTTGAGTACCCATTGCAGTTCTCTGGTGTACACGCTCAGCCGAATACACAGGAAACGAAACAATGAACTGTTCTTTCTGTTTGTTGCAGTTGTTTGCATTGCTTCATAAAAGGCAACGAGCCTTTTTGAACAACAGCAAATTGTTTTCATTGCCAGTTTGTACTATGAGCTATGAGCTGCTGAAAATAATGAAAGGAAATTTTTGATTTCTCATTTAGAAGCTCTTTAAGTACGAGAAAGCAGAAGAAAGTTTTAAGATTTGTGATAGATTTTTTATTTGTTTCCTTTCTTTTCATTTGCGTAATGGTGCTACATTTAAAAGAATAGAAGCGAGTTGTTCTTCCATACAACAAATGTAAAGAAAGGAGAGAGTATGTTTATGCAATATGTTTGCAATATGTTTAATGATATTGCCGTGTGTTAATTGCGTTTTGTAGATCCCACGTTGCACTCTTACTACATTTCTCAGTTATCGAGTTCTTTACTCGTAATTGTAAATACTCGTAAAATGTTTTCTTATTAATATACTTCTCTCAAACTGTTATGACCATTAAATGAACTAGAATACTTTTAAACGCCGATTTAAGTTGTCTTTCGACAACTTCCTTAAATTTTGCCGGCCGAATGGCGTATAAGTTGACCATAATTCTAATTTGTAGTCAAGTGTGTAATAAAGTGAATGACTTAGAAATCATGCAACTACAAAGTAAAGCAATTAATTAAGGATATCGAAATTAAACTACATGTAACATGTAAGAAAGCAACTTATCAATTTTCCTCTTTTGACGCTTTTCAGACATAAAAATTCATCAAACTATATTTAGTTATACTTAATACGATATTCTGGTATTGCAATTTTTATATTATAAGTTGTTTTTGGTTTTCTAAAATATATAATTTCTCAAATTAAAATTGTGTATTATTTTTGAAACAACTTTTTTATACACTTTTACAGATTCGTTTAAATCTGAACAAATAACTCCAGAATCAAATTTAACAAATGCAATAGTTCATCATAATCGGTACATAAATGAGGACTCTAATAATGAACATGAAACGAGAGACATCACCGACAATAATAGATCATCACCTACATCCACAAATTCTTCAATAATCTCATGTAATAATAGTGCCATTAAAAAGGCGAGAAGCGTGACTACTGGAAGCGATATGAATGATAATATATCTGATTCAAATTTAACGCATATACCAACTGTTATTTTTAAATGCAGTAACTGTAATCACTTTGCTCAAAATAAAGAGGATATGGAGTCTCATATTGACTTGCAGCACCCAAATTTTGATCAAGAGTATGAAAGTATACCAACTAATGCAGCAGCAGTTCATGCATTTCAAGCGGCGGTAGCTGCAGCAACAGCAGCAGCCGCTGTTGCATCTGCTGCTTCCACAATAAAAGAAGTGATGCCTAAATTAAAGAATGATGGAGAAGATGATTGTCCCATTGAAATCAAAAGAGAACGCTTAGAAATAAGCAAAGATAAACAGCAGTCAGAAACAAACAGAATGGAAACGCTTGCAATAGACCAAACTGTCGAGGATGATGATATAAATGCAAATTTGCAAAAGCAATTACAAGAATTACATAAGCAGTCAAAATTACAAGAATCTAAAACCGGCAGCATTCAAAGAGAAAGCTTTGACGAAATTTCAAGTGTTCAATGTCCATTATGCCAAGAAAGCTTTTCCAAACAATCAAATTTCGAATTACATCTTATGCACATACATAGTGTAAATCGTGATGGATTAGCACGTTTGCTGAAGCTAGTCGATACCAGTATTTGGCAGCAATTGTCCAAAAACAGCGCAACTTTGACTGCAGCTGATAACGCTACTGAAATAAAGTCTCCCAAAGTTGAGCACTCTTCTACAAGTACAATCGAATATCATGATTCTAGAAAAACTCTTATAAATACTGGTAATGAAACAGTTAGTAATGACTTTTACTGTAGTCAATGCGACTCCAGTTTCAAGCAGGAGCAACAACTTTTACAGCATGCCCAAAAATTGCAGCACTATAACATTCAGCAAGGTAGCTATCTGTGTCTAGCAGCCAATAATAATAGCCGTCCATGTCAATTACTTTTTAATTCTCCGTTAACAATGATTTCTCATTATAACGATGTTCATATGAGTTCCGTTATATCAGAGCGCCATGTCTATAAATATCGTTGTAAACAGTGCTCGCTCGCATTTAAAACACAGGAAAAACTTACAACCCACACCCTTTATCATACAATGCGCGACGCCACTAAATGTGCGCTATGTCACCGTAATTTTCGTAGCACTCAGGCTCTTCAAAAACACATGGAACAATTACATCCACATGAAGTCGAATCAAGTGTTGGAATTGAGGATAACAGTTCACAAATACAAAACTCTCTGTCAAATGAATTATGTATTAGCCTGTTGCAAAAACAAAAACATGAAACTAGTACTGATAATGTAGTAAAATCAAATGAAACAGGTGAGTGCTAAGTTTTTATATTTCATTATAATAATCTGTGCAGTCATACCGTAGTTGAAACCGTTCAATATTGTTACGTATGTCCTGATTTAAGAAACAATCAACATTTTGAAATACTTCAATCAATTATAATCTATTCATTTTAGGGGAAAGTGTAAATGTATCTACAATTTCTTCATCGCCTGATGTTTCTTTAGTCAGTTCAGAGCAACACCTAATAAAGGAATCAAAAACTACGGCTCAGCAATTGAGTAACATATATGTACAGCCAACAACACCTGAATTAATAAAGCAACAAGATCAGCAAAAACCCAATTCAGCTACTGCTTTATTTAAACAACAACACAACGAGTCTGAACAGAGTTCATTTTCAACTGGCGATATATTACAGCAGTTACAAATGCAACCGTCGGCACTTACACAAAAATATGAGCAGCAAACTCAACAAGGGATGTCTGCGCAAATGTCAACTACACAAAATCTACAGTCAATTCAAAATATACAACAGCTCCAACATCAGTTGCCACAAATAGCAGCAGCAGCCACAGCTTCAGGTTTACCATTTAATCCTATTGATATGTTGAATTTCATGCAGTTTCATCACCTCATGTCATTAAATTTCATGAATTTGGCTCCGCCACTAATTTACGACAGCAGCTGTACTACAACAGGAAATACTGCGAATCCAAATTCAACTGTTCCAATAAATAATAATCCTTCGGTAACGAATGCAGCCACTTCCCAAACAGCTATGACGACTACCTCCCCAACAGTCGACGTTGGTAGTCATTTATTACAACAGCAAAATTCTCCAGTTTCTATGACACAGGTAATTTTGTTTTATTTTCAAATCATTTAAATTCGCGTCACCACTATTACTTTATAACACATTTTCATATACACAAACTCCAATAGTATCATAAATTAATCATTAGAAAATCATTTCTTATTAACATTTATGGTTAATTTGTTTAGTTATCCAATAATCAAAAGCGAGCACGCACACGAATCACCGATGACCAGTTGAAGATATTACGTGCACATTTCGATATTAACAACTCTCCCAGTGAAGAGAGCATAATGGAAATGTCACAAAAAGCAAATTTACCCATGAAAGTAGGTTTAAATTTTAATAAGTCCAATTAAATGCTACTTCTTTTTAAATTTTCTTGTAGGTGGTTAAGCACTGGTTTCGCAATACGCTTTTTAAGGAAAGACAACGTAATAAAGACTCTCCTTATAATTTTAATAATCCACCATCAACAACATTAAATATTGAAGAATACGAACGCACTGGCCAGGCTAAAGTAACTCCATTAACTGAGGGAAGTGTGAGTTTATTATCGACTTCTACAGATCCAAGTACAAATATGATAGCAGCATGCGATCTATCAACTAATGCATCAAATCAAATTGCTACCACTACAGAGCACTCACTTCACGAAAACTCGGAATCGAATATGTGTGATTTTTTAATTGAGCATCTAAAATTTGACCAGAACCACCAACAAGAACTGAAACAATCGCAAAGTGATGGTTTTAGAGGATTGAATACATCAAGTGTTTCAAACGAAATCATTCCTCTGGAAGTGCAAATTAAAACAGAACCAAGTGACGAAGTCGAAAATTATAAAGATTTAAAGTACAAACAACCACAACATATTCAACAACCACAATTATTGACAACAACTTCAGCAATATTTTTAAAGCAACATCAACAACATGTGTCCAATGTAAATGAAAATCATGAAGAGCAAGAGTTTGGATCACAAACCGCTCCAAGCAATATTATGGTTCAGCAACAACAACACACATATTACAATAACTTTGAAACTAAGTCAGAAAGCGGAAGCTCTGACATACATTCGCGACCACAAAGTCCAAACAATGCGTCAACAGCTAACCCATATTCTAACATGAATGATTTGCTAAGCCAACAGTTAGATAACTCACCACTAAATAATATGTCAAATATAGGAAATCTAAGTAAAATGGGACCCCCAAAAAAATTTCAAATAAACAAAACTTTCGACAAAAGTTCGCCATCATCCCAACAGTTTGACAATAATTCAAATTCTTCAAACTCATCTTCAACATCGAGTGGTAAACGTGCGAATCGGACTCGTTTTACAGATTATCAAATAAAAGTTCTGCAAGAGTTTTTTGAAAATAACTCTTATCCGAAAGATAGCGACTTAGAATATTTAAGCAAATTGTTGTTGTTATCGCCACGAGTAATTGTTGTATGGTTTCAGGTAAGTGTATCGAGAACTCACCTTATCTTATTATATAGGATTTTACATAGAAAGTTTTTATTTCTGAGATTAAAGAAGTTTAATTTCCCCCATTTTATATATAACATAGTCTTCTGGAGATAAACAATTTTAACACAGTTAAGTTTATTTCATGTAAACATGTACATTTTATAAATATTATACTACATTTTGTACAAAAACATTTTTCCGAGCAATGTCTTTGTGGACTTCCTCTTTAAAAATAGAATATTCATGAGGTAAGACATGCACATCGTAAGAAGCGACTAAAATGTTTTAGGCATCATCCTGCACTGTTTGGAGTATCACTAGTAATAAGTGAGTTTCAGTTGGTGTACCCGGCTAGAAATGTAAAGCTGCTACCACAGCGGTTGGGACCTACCGCTCCTTCCTTAAAAGGAGCGTTGTGGTGGCTGTGGCTAAAACCCAAATATACATAAGTAGAATAACTTCCATTTACTTTGATTTGAAGTTGCATTTTTAACCGCGTCCTGTAACCCAAAACACAGCTGTGTCAATTGGTATCAACATAATTTCTCGGAATTCCAATAGGGCGTTTATATGCGTATTCTGAAGCTTTATCGATGGTCTGAATCTTTCTCTGGAGGTAATCACGTTTGACAACTGTGGATTTTTTCATTGTAGATTCTGGAGCTATCACTTAACCAGAGTGTTGATTGACTTGCTGCCCATAATATAGTGCTCTGTTCTTGTAGTTTTTATATAGCTTCTCGGTATATACATTTGAAAAACAAGTCAAATAAACAATGACTGATAGCACCTCGAACTTTATCATCCATTACACGACAACAAGTTGAAAATTGTCTTCTGGTTTAAGTTAGCAGATATTTAGAATAAAGTCCATTGTTATCTAAGTCTATAAACCTGTGTTTGCTAAGTTGAATTCGAAGTGTGCCATTGCACCTATAACTGGTTCTGCTTACTCTAGACTCGCTCCTAAGTGCATTTTATGTAGTCTCATTTCTGTACGATTCGGATTTTTAGCACTCTAGATATGTCTCAAAACTGGTCAAGTTTGTTTTCCACTTTAACCGGAAGCGTTACTTTTTCTTAGGTTTAAATCTCTTTATTGTAGGTTTAAATTACATTGAGTTAGATAATTTACAATCAATAAAAAATTCTTTTCTTAAGATCTACTACTTATGACCTTACATATAATCTATACTAACGTATACACTACTTCTCCAGATATTATTTACACTAATTACATACTCTTATGACTAACTTAAGGCTATTCTACTTTAGTTTGCATTATTATTTTTTCGGAAAATATAAAGGAATTGCATTATTACTTAAATAATTGCACTATTCGCCTGACACAGTCAAGACCACGATCATGCCTGACTATTGCTTCAACCTATAGACCGTGTTAGTTGTGTTATGGGTGTTGAACGGTCTATGGTAGTACACCAGCTTCTCGTCCCAGTAGATCACGTTATTGCTATTGAGCAATAACTTAATAAGTTGATGATCCACTATTGAGTACGCAATCTTGCGCTCTTTCCGGAAAATGCTCTGCATCTACAAGTTTTGAAAGAGAAGCAGGCTCTTCAGAAATCATATAGCCGATTCAATCATTAAGGCGTCAACTATCGTAACTGAGCAAGTTTTATCAATCATTTTATTGGAGAGCTGCCTAACCCTACCATATTCATCAACTCAAGCCCTAATGCCCGCACAGGATGCTACGCTCAAGCCTACGTATCCTCTCCATCTGGCAGGTGGGTGTACCAGGTTGGGAAGGCGTACCCCAGTATTGGCCTAACCAGCTGTTTGTAACAGTTCAGCTTCATTTTGGTTTTTAGAAAGATCGCTCTTCTAAAAAAGGCCGTATACATGCAAAAGGCTTTTTTAGCCTTCCCAAAGGCATAGTCTACATATTTATTAAAAGTGAATTTTGAGTCAATCAACATTCCCAGGTACTTCAAATAATCCCTAGTAGCGATTCTGATATTCCACCAATTCTGATATTTGAGAAAAAATGCTTCGCGTGCGGGAACAGGAGTTTTGTAGAAATATTCATTGAGCATCTGAACTGTTCGCCCTGGATGTGTGAGGTTTCGCGGTGATAAGATGATGTCATCCGCATACATAAACATGGGCATGTCTTAAGATCACATAGGTAGGTTCGTTATTGGGATGTTATGTAAAATAGGACGCAAAGCTGAACCCTGTGGGAACCCTTCTGTATATGGTTTTCTTATGCAAAATATTGCCTTATTTACGTCACTTATTTACAATATTAACACTTTATGTTTAATAATCTAATCTGATTATTATTACTTATGCATAGCTCGTGTGTATCAGTACACAATAACACTCTTTTTAAAAGCTTTTGAGGCGAAGGAGGCTTCGTAAACTTGCTGCCATCCACGGTTATTCTAGCACCGCTGCTGTCATTTTTTTCTGGCCACTCTAGTTCATTAGGTCATTTGAATACAAAGTTTTGAAATATTGAATTTGAAACAAGTATTCTTATAGTCCAAATGATTCTATGTCAAGGATTGAAATTGACTCATTTTTTTCGTATAAAATTTGGCTACAAATCAAACTGCTTTTTATTTTGGGATTCCTACATTTTCATACATTTTTGAATATAATGTGCTGTCAGCGTTTTATATAATGTTCAGAATTATACTTTTGTTTGAGCGCATTCATATTTCGCCTTTTTTGTTCAATAACGAAAATTTTTTCCTTTTTTCAGAACGCACGTCAAAAGCAAAGAAAGATTTACGAAAATCAACCTAATAATTCTTTGTACGAAACTGAAGAGAAAAAACAAAATATTAACTATGCATGTAAAAAGTGCAACTTGGTATTTCAGCGGTATTACGAATTAATACGTCATCAAAAAAATCACTGCTTCAAAGAAGAAAATAACAAAAAATCAGCTAAAGCTCAAATTGCTGCCGCTCAAATTGCACAAAATTTAAGCTCAGAAGATTCAAATTCATCATTAGATGTTAATAATTCTAATGCAGCAGCAGCTGCTGCGCAACACGTAGCCGCTTTAGCCGCAGCAGCTGTCTTATCTAATAGCGGAGGTTCTACATCTTGTAATTCGCCTGCTGGTGTGGGGTTAGGAAGTCTTCTTTCTTCCTCACCACAACATCTTTTTAATAAAACATCAACATCTGCAACAGATTTTAGTCCCTCAACAACACCCACACCACCTCACAATAATAGCTTGGATCACCAAACTCAAAACACACTTCAACAGCTACAGTCCAAACAAAAATTTGAATGCGACAAATGCAAATTGAACTTTAATAAATACGAAAACTTTCGTGAACATCAATTAATTCATATAATGAACCCGAACCTTTTTCTACATCAACATCAAAATTCAACTGATTCTCTCACACCATATCCCTCTTTCGGCAGCATTTTGCATAGTTTGCAGCAAGCAGCCGCAACTGCCACTAGCCATCATCATCCTCAAACAAAGAAAAGAAAGCTCTCTGAAACTTCTTCAAATCCTGATGATTTATCTTCAGTAAGCTGCACTTCAGTGTCTGGTGATTATGACGTACAACATGACAGTAAGAGATATGATTTCTTATTCCAATATTTTATACAAAATCAAACAAATCCAGAGTTAAAACAACAATTTTTACTGCAGCAGCAACAGTCACAGGATTCTTCTGAGTTTGAAGTTGACTTTCTTTTTAATTTTTATCAACAAACTGAGCTGAAAAAACGCTCTAATTTTGATTTCTTATATCAATACTTTTTAAAAAACGAAAAAAACCAAACAGATAATCAAGAGCAGCCCGATCGATGGATTTCTGATAAGCCTTCCATCGATTTTCTCTTACAATACTATCAAATAAATGAATCAAAAAAGTTTTTTCAGTTAGATGCCTCGCCCCAACAAGTAAATGATGATCTGCATCATCAGAAGGAAATCAATGCCCCAAGTATTCATGCGCAACAAGACAGTCCCAGCAACGGGAAAGATGAGAGTTCTGATGTTGAACTTGACTTCGCAAAGGTCGAAGATGAGGAATTACCTTACTTCAAAAACAAAAATAACAATAAGGAAAATTTTGGGTGTGAGGGAATGGATTTTACCAATAAAAACGATGATTTAGTTCACGAACAACATGCAATGTCTAACAATTTCGAAATCAACAGATCTATAACTACCGAAAATAAAAAGTCACCATTAGTGCAAGCATTTTATCATAATTTAGAAGATTTTCTGGATGCAACGATGATTGAAAATACGACGCAGTCGTTGACGTTTAATGACTCTGCAAACTCCAATAACAAAACAGAAAAAGGCGATGTAGTGAAACAAACAATACCTCTCGAGAAAATACTTCCACCTGAAGAATCCTATTTAAAGATATCTAGCGCAACATCTTCAACTGTATCCGTAACAGCAACGTCTGAGAAACAAAATAAACGCTTGCGAACAACAATTTTGCCGGAGCAACTAAATTTCTTATATGAATGCTATCAAAATGAATCTAATCCCAGCAGAAAAATGTTAGAGGAAATATCGAAAAAGGTTAACTTAAAGAAGCGAGTTGTTCAAGTAAGTTTTTGCCCATTTAGATTGATAGTATTATCTCTGTTTCATGAGTTTTTATTATACTAAAACATCAGTGCTACCGATTTGAAACTTCAATATTGTAAATGTAGATTGTTGCATTTATCAAAGTAAACTGGATGACGAAATGACTAAATTGAAAATTTTATTTTTTTTTGTATTTGAAGATATTAGAATCTGTATTAAGAAATTTAATATATACATAAATTTACACATACCAATTCCTAGTATGCTGTAATTAATAGTTAATTAATTTTTTTTGTCGCCTAGTTGATTTTTTACATTTTGTTATTAATTTTTGCTCGTAATCAATTAGCAGTAATGTCATTTCAAGAAGCTAAAGAAATAAAAAATTCGTATTATCTACCAAAATGTTGGCATTTAAAATTTAAATTAATTATTTTTTCGTTTTTTTTTTACCTCCATAATAATATTAAGACATTTACGCATTGCCTTTGTTGGCGCTGGTTTGCTTAGGCTGCGAATAAATTCTTATATATATTATAAGATATATATGAATACAATATATATGCAATATATATACATTTTTTTCATCAATGAAAATTTGTACAGTTTTTAGGCTGCTGCAGATACAACCTCTAATTATTATTACACATTCGCAAAAAAGCCTTTATAAAACCAACAAGAATAATATATAACTTTGCCTCAATTTCGCTATGTTTTATTGTAAATGCAATAAAACAGTTGGTAGTTCATTTTTTCAGAGAACTGCAACGAGTCAAATTTTAGCACTCAGTAGACTCATAAAAATCACAGCACTCAGAGTAGACTCATTCTCATTCGTCACAGAAATGATTCATAAGTGGTTTCGTTAACGAATGCCGGTGCTAATGAATTAGCCTCACAAGAATGCGTACACATTTCTAAGTAGAGTAGCATAAATGGCAAATGATTCATGAATCATAGCATATACTCAAATGAGTATGAATAATCTTATCGAAAATGAATAATTCGATCAGTAGCATTCGTAAAAATTTTGTGTGAGCGCTGTTGTTTGCTAAGCAAAAAATTTATTTCTTTTCAGTTTTATGCTTTTGTTGTGTGTTGTTGTTGATAGCATTAGATATTTACTTAACAATGTAGGAAAATTACAATTAGTAGGTAATTATATGCGTAGTATATTACAACAGGCAATATTTTCCCGATTGTGACTTAATACTCATGAATGATTCATAAATCATTTGCATCACTTTTGTGTCGAATATCGGGGTTTATAAGTATTATATGAGTAGAGTATAAATCATGGTAAGTGCTGTCAGCTATATGTATGAATCAGGTGGAGTCTAATAAAGAAAATAGAAAAAAGAGAATCAAAATGCATATAAATGAAATACAGTCAATCGTTCGAGTATGATTGAAGTGTTGAGTACTCATTGCAGTTCTCTGGTAGATATACAACGCATAGTAGTTGATAATTTTTTTCTGCAATATTTAGTAGTTTAGTATCATATTTTTTCAATATAGCGTGATAGGTATATATATATAATATATTACGTATAGCTTCGAGTTGCATGTATATACCCAACCTTCTTTTCTATTAGTGTAAAAAATATTAATTAGGGTCTTTTAATCACCATTAATACTTAAATTATAATAAAGCTTTTTCTTTCAATGTTAGAACTAATAAATTTTTATAATAATAATTTTGCCGTTTATTCTTTTAAAATAAAACACTAACTTCAATTAATTACAATATAACACAAAATCAGTTTTATTGATTTGATGAGTGCACCTCATTCCAATTTATATTATTGAGGTTTCATTTGAGGTCCATTTAGTTGCCAAGACAGAGAAGAATTATGAAAATCGGTTCAGTTACTCAGTGATTTAATATTCATAATCAATTAATCAATAATACAACACAATTATATTTAAATATTTTAATTTATTTTTTCGAAGGTTTTTTACTTGAACTTTTTTCTTTTCATTATTTTTTTTTAGTAATTATCCTGTTGATTTCGGTGTGATTGATTTTGCCAAAGACTTTAATCCGTGAAGTGCGTATTTTAACTATTTTAATATTCAAATAGAATAAAATGAAAGTTGTTGAAAACGTTACCTTGGTAATAATAGTTTTTGCTCTGGGTATTATTATGGATGAGAGAGATAAGTAGATTTCGGAATCAATTTGGATTTTTATATGGCAGGCAAATAAATAAGTATTTGCATTGCAAAATAAATCAAACAAAATCGTAAATGAATATAGAACAAGTTAAAATCAGTGTCGCATGCATTTGCAAAAAATTAAGAAATGTAAAAAGAGATACGAACTATATTTTGCCAAGTTAACGTTCTTTTCCAAAATTTTATTTTTTAAATTGTTGAACTTAATGTTTAAAGTAGATCATTCAAAAGTGGATAATGCTTTTTTTTTTAATTCTAATTTTAGGTTTGGTTTCAAAACTCAAGAGCCAAAGATAAAAAATCTAGAAATCAACGATATTTTGCTGCTTCTGATGACAGCAACTACGAAGATGCCACAAGTAATGCCAATATCAGTGTAAGCAACAATGCTGCAACGAATACTGGTTCGACCATTACAACTAAAGTAGAGATTAGAGACTGCAAACTTTGCGAATTACCTGAAGTGAACACTCAACAACACGCATTTACAGTAGAGCACATACGTCGAGTAAAGGAACTGTTGAAGCAAACGCTTATAGCTGATGACTTGTCTGATTCTAACGAAACTCATAAACAGCCATTATTAAATAATATTTACATTGATAGTTTTGATGATAAAGAGGGCATCGGTAATATTAATGATAATTCAGTACATGAAGAAAATGCGCCACAAGTTAAACGAAAAAAAATTAAGAACAATTTTAAAGAAAACGCTGAAAATCACCTCGATAAGATAACTTTGATTGATAAATACGGCAGTGAAAACAGCACTGGAAATCAATTTGAAAATATTGTTGCAGAAGGCACAAAATTTTTATTAAATAACTCCATCAATAAGGAGTCAACTAATGCGCCCCAACAAAATCTTAATAAAAACAATCAAATAAAATTGGTTAAACATTTGGGAAAAGTAGACCAAAGTTTTCTTTCTGAAGATAAACTAGTGCATAACTTCAAAGGTTCCAAAAGTGTGAATAACTTTAATGCTGCTAACATTGATGATGACAAAGATCCGACAGGATCTTCAAAAATATCTTACACTGCTGATATACTTCAGCAACTTTTCAATCATAATAAAATTCCTGGTAAGTGAAATAATTTCACAAAGCATCAATGCAATGGCTTCATTCATATTTTGTTTATCTAAAAAGCAATTAATTCTACTTAGATTCAAATATTTTCTGTCAAGCATTTGTAGAAATATTTCAAATAATATGGACATCAAAAAGAGTTTGTTTCGTAACATACAACTTGATTTCCGCATCCAATTATGTTTTTAGGAAACACAATCATTCCAACGCGTCAAACGCCTTTCAGGATGGTTCTCATCATACAAAATCCAAACTTCGGACTGCTGTCACCCATTAATAAACTAACTAATCTTAGGAGATATATTTAAACAAGACTATAATGTTTTAAACAAACTTATCCTTTAAATAAACCTCGCATTTAATTAATTAAATTTAATATAATTATACACATAATTTTAAATTAATTTATTTTTATTTCATACATTAATATTAATTTTAATGGAGACAAACGATTCCAGTGTAAATCCGAATACCTATATTCTAAATACATTACCAACTGAATTGAAGTCATAACTGATTTGTATTTACACTGGATTCCTTGTCTATATATTAATTGGCTTATTGTAAGTTGAGTTAATTACTAAGAATTTGGTTTCTCCAGTTTCAGAGATCCATTATTCCTGTTAAGTTATTTAGTTTATATTTGTTTTTTTAAGTACACAGATATGAACTTATTTTGCTTTATTATTTCTTAGTTATACTGTTAATAATACTTTATTTTGTATAAATTATTTGTATACAATGTGTAAAAATACTTGTATGTTTGAAATTATGTAAATGGATTAATGAAAATAAAACAAATGCTGGCATACATATAAGACAATATATGCTGTCCGTACACATGTAGGATATTTTTTTAGAAAATCTAATATACATATAAGTCAATATTTCGTTTCATTTGGGTTTGACTTTTAATTTTTTTTTATTACATTTAATACATAAACCTACTCGTACAATATTTGTTGCGATATAGCGGAAGTCCACTACCAAATTATTAGTAAAACAATATTTCATAAAAACTCATTTCGGTAAAGAATAGAAAGTCGTTAAATCAAAAATATCATTCTTAAGTAACATATATTACATTACACTTGTTCCAAAGAGTACAAAAAAACCCAGGCAATGGAATTTACGATATTTTCGTGTCAATACTAAACTTACAGAGAACTACTGATACTACTTATTTAATTAAGCAAATTAATTAATTATTCCCTAATTTCATTGAATACACTTCTAAGTTCATTTTTAATGAATATATATTTGCATATAATTTTATTCTGTTTGAGTCTCAAATTTTGTAATTAGTTTCAATGTTTCAAATAAAAGGAAATATTGTAATGGATCTATATCTTAGTGCCATTCATTTCATTAGATGAAATGACTTCAAAAATTTTGATTGAAAATTTGTGCTCTTAACTACCATCAATAACTTAAAATTTGTCCATAATAATAATAATTGCATAATTGATTCGATATATGCAGATTCGGGGATTAAGATTTTATCAATTGCTTGTTTATTTCGTTATTAAAAAATTTGAAAGTTTGACATAAAAAGCAGCATTTGTAATTTATTGAATTACATATTTCAGTTATAGGAGGCAAGTAATGATGTTGACTGGATTAAAAATACATACTGCTGTGATTCAAATGTGGCATTCCTGGCGATTTATTCACTACCAAAGCAGAAGTAAGTATTATTGAATAAAAAGTAAATCCTTCTCAAGAAAAACTCGATAGATTGCTAAATCATGAAAGAAATTGTCTCTTTGTATTTAATTGTATTTAAAACTAACAAAATTATTTCTTTTTCCTCTCTTTAGAACTACAGTTCTCACTACATTCAAGGCAAATACCGAAAAAACTGTTAAAAGTTTTTTATATAAATTATTATGTCACAGCTCCTCTTAGCTCTACAACCAATTTATGGTGAAGAAATGAAACACTAGAATTTCTAATAAGGGCTTGAAATTCGAAAATGATCAGTAATGGTACTCGCTACTCAAGATTAGAATATATGATATATACACAGATATAAAAGTTCCTATTTTGACAGTCGTTATAATTTATATATTAACTATATCTTATCGAATATTTGAAATAATCTATTAAAAATTAATAAAAACGTGTTCCTATTATATAAAATATAAAAAGTAAACTATGATATATATATATCTATATCATATAGTATATAAAATAATTATTAAGAATAACTATAAAAAATTACACAGAAACTTTTAAATTTCATATGAAACTAAGTTCCTAGCATTTAGCTCATTTGCCTTAGTTATGCGCCATTTATTCCTTTTATTGATTATTATTATAAACAACAAAATTATATAGTATTAACACAAATATAGATTTATACAATATATACGTACTGCAACAAATAAATTAATGGATGTATGTAAAAGCGTTTAGTAGAAATTTAGTATTAATATAAATCCGTAACTTCTATAACTATGTGTGCCAACTAACAAATTAATATTGTATTGTTTTTAAAATATTTGAATGCATTAAAACTAATAACAAATTGACTGAAAGAAAGTTCCATTACCACTTTAGTAAAAGTTATAATGCCGAATTGTATAACTCCAATTAGTACTATTTTTTCATTAATTTAAAAATGTCTATAGGGTCTTTATTATATTTGCTACTTCTTTATTTATACCGCGTAAGCTATAATAATATTTTCCATAACATTGTCCACTTCTGCAAACTATTATAATTTAAATGAACTATCATTCGAAGGATCTGAGGATCTGAGGGATCTGACGATTATTCTCATAAGTAGATTCTAACTTGGCAAATATGTCAGTAATATATTAGTAAATAATATGACTGATGTATATATATTAATAATATTTAAATTATTGAACCCGTTTGATAAATCTTAGGTTTGGAATATCTAATGTTTCGTATTTTATTATTAATGTGCTCAATAGATAATAAATAGTACTAAAATATAATTATTTCAAAATTAATTATCTGGCTGAGGTCCACTTTTATTTGTTGTCCTATTTGTCAATTTTTCGTTAAGTTTAAAAATTTACTACCTTTTCATAATTTGCACGGCAAACAGTTATCTTTTAGTATCGATAACTCAAAAACTTTGGAGATATTTTACTTTTAGTATATTCTGATAACGCAAAAACTTTAAAAATATTTTAATTTTAGTATATTCATTGTGCAATATAGAAACACAAAACATGTAATAAAATATATTTGTTATAAATATAAAAATTTAGGTATAAACGTAAATATAAAACAAAATAGTACATTACTCAACAGTATATTTTATAAACAAAAATGAAAATGGCACACTTATTTCTATTTAAATTAAGATAAGTATTGAAAGCTTAAAACTTTAGTATAAAAATAAAACATTTCAAATGTAAAAGATAATTTGAAATGGGTGGGTTGAAATAAGTATAAGTTCACTCGAAAAACATTTTCTAGGTATTTTGAATGTACGTATACTATGCAGACCGGGCAAACAATTTTAAAAGGTTCTAAGGTTCTGGCAAATTAAAGAGTTAAGATTGACATTTACATATAAAAAAATCAAAACTATAAATGTATTGTACAAAGGTATAATCTATTTCTAGAAGTTTTATATACAAAAACTAAATAAATTATTCATTTCTTTTTCTAATGTTTTTTGTCCTTAGATTTTTACTTCAATAAAAATTTGAAGTAAATTAATTTGAGAACAAATTTCTTTCGAAAAATGCGCTTAAAAGGCACTTCACTTGTTTGCCGATAAGGCTTAGATTATTTAACAACATTTGCGCAAGCCAAAAACATAGATATTTTTATGTTATTACCAATGTTAGTTGCACTTCTACTTCTACTGGTAACTTATGCTTTTGTACAATAGTCAAAACAAAAAAACAACTTTGCTTTCGTACACACCACTAAATATGTACTAAACTAAACATTTGTCTAAGTTTATCTAAACTTCTATTGCCTAAGTTTGCTAAAGATCTAAAAGTAAAACTGTGTACATTATTCCAGAGGTTGGTTTGACATATTTTTTGTTATTTCATATACATGTACTATGTCCGAAGAATGTATCTATATAGAACCGAACCGAATTGAATGTGAATAAGATTTTTAGGCGCAGCTCTTTACTTTTGATTCCTTTTTATTTTATTCCTAGTCGTGTAACGTGCAACTCATGTAAAGTGATCATAAATTTATGTAATTAAATATTAATAAGAATGTGTGTAAAATGCAGAAAAAAGTTCCTATTTATCACATAATTAGTTATATATATGTATATATACATATACATATACATAAATATATATATAAAATATATATATATATATATATATGAATGAAGTATATATATATTCATATAAATATATATAATATATATATATATATATGAATGAAGTATATATATATTCATATAAATATATATAATATATATATATATAATTGAGTATTTATCATATAAATATATATATATATCATATAATATATATTATATAATATATTATATATATTATATATATATATATATAATATTATATATATATATATATGTTGTATGTATATGATATATATGTATATATATAGAAATATATATGTACATATATATGTATGTGCATATAAATATAATGTAAATTAAAAATACTGATCATAGCTACGTGCATACGCTTCTGCACACATACATATGTACGTAGTTATAACAAAGAGACTAAACACTAAACAATTGAAATCCTCGCAAAACCAATGTGAATTATAATGTAGTATCCTATTTTTAGAAATAAGATGAAATTAATTAAAATAGCATGTAAGGTAATGACACCTAGATATATGTATACATTAAAAATTTAATTATAAACTTTAACGTATTTATATAATACTTTGAAATTATCAAAAACAAAAAGAAAAAATTGGGTAGCTATCATATACTCATGTAACCCGATCTTATAAAGCAAATTCTCGTTTAAGCAAAATATATGCAGTTAAAATTGTAGCTGTTTTATAATACTTTGGATGCATCGTTGCAAATTGCAATGTAAAAAGATATATCTGGAAAATAGAAAATTTTTCACTTGTTTCTGGTGCAGCAAAATAGTAAGATTACTCATATTTTACATTATCAAATTGTCCTTTCAAGCAGCATATACTATAGAATACAGTATTAAAAAAAAAACTAAAAAAATAATAAACCTAAACATATCACAGTATACGTAAATTTGCTAAACAACTTCTTAGATATGAGTTGCATAAATAACCAACATAAACAAATCCCTGCGAATAGCCTTTTTACTATTATAAACCATATACCATACAACAGGAGGACAGGGAAAACAATACCAGCACTCTAGGATTAACTCAATTAATCCAGTTAGAATTAATATTAAATAAGAAAAAGAACTATCGAAATAAATTTAATGGCAAAAATAAAAAGTTCCTATATATTTAAAAAATCCAAGAAATGTGCATATATAATTATTATAAATATTTAATAAATAAATGCAAAAAATATAATACTGATATTTTAATTTCTAAAATTTATTTTTTTAATACTGGTTCTTTAAAAGAGACTATTAATTGTATAAATATATATTTGTAATGTGGAAAAATCCATAACCATAGTTGGTTGATTGGTTGCTGTAGCAGGCCATTAGATAACTTCCATGTATCTCAAAAAGCGATTTTTCGACGTTTTGCTGCCACATTCCTCGCAAGAACACTAGTATAGAAGAGTACAAACTTAATCCATCCTGCCGAATTCAGATAATTAAGTAGATCTTTCGTCTTCATTGATGCACAGTCTGATGAACTATAAAAGAAATATCTTCCTAAAAACCTAAATCTTCTGGACGCCAAAGTCGGACATTCATAGAGAAAATGTATTATGGTTTCTTTTTCCTGCGGGTTTCCTCAACTTCTGCAGTGAGGATTATGGGGAATGCGCAGTTTCTCTGTGTGAGTTCCTATACACCAATGATCAGAAAGAACTGTAGTAAGCCTTAGAGTGTTCACGCGGTTCCTTTTTGATGAGTTCCGAAGATCTATTTTTATTATAGATGGGCCTTGTTAATCTGGAAGTTGCATATGACTTATGTGCTTTCCATTCGTTATTGGCAAGTTGCAAAAAGTAGAGGAAGGTGCTTCTCTTAATGATCTCTAAGGTAATATAAATCGATACCGCCAGGGACACATCTAGGAAAGCATCAGAGCGGGCTAAACTGTCAGCTTTCTCGTTCCCTTCGATGTTCCTATGTTCAGAACCTTAATGAGGGTGATGTCAACCAACAGATTTAGCTCGTCGATTGCTTTTCTACATTCCTTTACTATCTTTGATTTTGTTATGAAGGATTCAAGGGCTTTAATTGCTACCTGGTTGTGAATGAAAATGACAACACTACATCTGTCCCCGATGTGACTTATAATTTGCCAACAGGCTTATCTAATTACTACGATTTTAGCCTGAAAAACCGTGACCTCATTAGATAGCCTAAAAAAATTATTTATATTTTCAGATGGTACAAAAATCCCTGCTCCTACCACGCAGTTCATTTTCGCGCCATCCGTATATATTGAGATATCGTAGTTTGCTTCCAAATTTTTTCTTGTCCATTCATTTCTTGAAGTAAATATTGTCAAACAATTTCTTTCAAAGTCTAGGCACGGATTCAGATAACCCGATGTCAACCTATACAGAGAGTTTTGAACTGTACCTAAAATCCGACTATGTCCATATGTTCTTTCCGGCCAGACGCCTTTTGCTTTAAATCTAACAGCGCTCTTACAAAGCATATTTTTGATGTGGAGGTCGACAGGTAGCAGGTGTAGCATCACGTTTTGGGTGTCCGAGGGAGTCGTCCTAAAAGTTCCTGTGATACCTACATATGCTGTCCTCTGAATTCTGTTGAGTTCATCGATGTTATAGCTCTTAATTAGGGGCGCGCACCAAAAGACAACACCGTATGTGAAAATTGAACATAGAATGGCCGTGTACATTCAATGTGTAATATGAAGACGAATCTCTTATTTTTTTTCAAACGTTCTTTTGCAAGAGTAAAAAACTATACAAG